CCTTCATGCAGTCTTCCAGTCACTCCTCCTTTAATTTATTTCCTGCCTCTACAAGTCATTATGCGCTAAAAGCAATGGACTTTTATTAGCACACAGATCTTCGTTTCTACACTCGTTCCTACGCAAAGCCAAGAAGCGATGGATATTGGTTTCTGAAAACCACTTCTCTAGAAATGGCACCAAGGCTCCCTAAATAACGGCTAATCACATCCTGGAACATCATTTCTAGCCAGACAGGTAGAAAAGGCTGTTAAAGGGTCATGTCAAAAGGACATCCTAGACAACTTAAAGCAGCTCCTGCAATTGATTCAATTTGAGATTATGTAAACATCAAATAGACTATGGATTCAGGCATTAGTTAAACATTTGAGAAAATAAATCCGCCCAAGTAATTCTTAACACATTACTTGTTAATTGCAAAAGGAATGCCACAAGCTTTATACAGTGGTGATCTTAACCAAGAATACAAACTCCAAATCAATGACATGGGATGCCTTTGCATCATTTGGTTCCTGAAAATAGGCACTACCAAGTACACATATACTAATGAAGTATTTTTACCATAAGCTTTAACCAGAATAGAACCATGATCCCTTATCTTATACTTTCCAGCATATCCAGTAGATGGAAAAGCAATTTAAACAGCACCAACATATAGAATTCCACAGATGATGTCTGTTTTCTTAAGAAGTCAATGTGGGGCCTTGCAGCGTGGCCTAGCGGCTAAAGTCCTTGCCTTGAATACATCAGGATCCCATATGGGCACCGGTTCTAATCCCGGCAGCTCCACTCCCCATCCAGCTCCCTGCCTGTGGCCTGGGAAAGCAGTCAAGGACAGCCCAAAGCTTTGGGACCCTGCACCCGTGTGGGAGACCCAGAAGAGGTTCCTGGATCCCAGCTTCGGATTGGCGCAGTACCGGCCGTTGCGGCTCACCTGGGGAGTGAATCATTGGATGGAAGATCTTCCTCTTTGTCTCTCCTCCTCTCTGTATATCTGACTTTGTAATAAAAAGAAAAACTAAATCTTTAAAATAAAAAAAAGAAGTCAATGTGGAGTAGTAGAAAAAAAAAACAATGGCCTGGGTAAGTGGATGGACAAGGAGAGACTGTTGTTCACTATGACAGAGACAAAGTTACAACCAAATATGAAACATGAGCCATGAGATCCAGGTCAGAGAAAAACAGCATCAAAATACCCTGTTGTAACTGCCAAGACTTTCTAAATATTAAATATCTCTATGACATGGTGCACAGCCAATTTTCTTACGTACAGTAAGTATGTCACTGTTACGTAGCAAAGGTCCTTATTCTTAAGAAATATAAGATCAACAGTTAGGAATTGCTGCCAGTCTTGCCACTCCAAGCACTATGAGGTACTTGAAGAATCCACTGATTGACATAGTCCATCATAGCAGAGTTGGTTGGTTGACCTGTTCTGTCTTCTCTCTTTTCTTGGTTAGGGTTCTGAGTCCAGCATTTTGATAGGGGAGATCTCCAAAGAAACTATGAGGTGTGCTCAGACCAGATTCTTGTATATACTAGCAAGTACAGGGCCCGGCAGTCCATGGTCCCGATCAGCTGGTGGTTGCAATTGCTGGGTTGGTTCTGTTTTCAGCCCCGACTTTCACTGGAACCAATGGGTGCTGCAGTCCAGCCTGGTTCTGCCCAGCACATACTCGGCCCTTGCATAGACAAGTGGGAGCTGCAGCCTAGTTGGAGCAAGCCACAATAACCCCACCAGGGCTGCCGCCTACCCTGGTTTGCCAGTATGTGCAGCAGTAGTTCAGTCTATCCCACACCCCATTCCACCCCAGCTGCTGTCCGTGCCTTCCTGTGGGAGTGGTTCCCAAGAGGGGGGAACCCACTATTTCCCTCCCAGGCCTCTCGCACTTTAGATTATGCACATCCGGGACCTGGGGAGGGTGGGAAATTGGGTGGGTCTTCTCCCTTAATACCCCCCTTTAAACATGAAGGAAACAATATGGAAAAAATACTAGTCTTACCCACTTTCCTATAAAAGCCCTAACCTTTTTAAATATATATATATATATAAATGATCAACTGTGGCCAGCACAGTGGTACAGTACATTAACCCCCTTCCCACAAGCACTGGTATCCTGTATGGGTTCCACTTTTTGTCTTTCCTACTCTATTTCCAATCCAGTTCCTTGCCTGTAGCCTGGGGAAGCAGCAGAGGATGGTTCAAGTTCTTGGGGCCCTGCACTTATGTGGAAGATCTGGAAGAAGCTCCTGGATCCTGGATTTGGATCAACTAATTTCTGGCCGTTTTAGCCATTCTGGGAGCATACCAGCAGGTGGAAGACCTTTCTCTCTCTGTTTCTCCTCTTTGTAAAAATCTGCCTTTCAAATAAAAATGAATGAACTTTTAAAAGACAAGATTAAGTGATTAACAGCAAAACAGCTGAAGTCTGTAACATTTTCCAGAGGTTCAGCAAAACTTACATACAGAGATAGTATGTTTTTATCTAGTTAATAAGAGAATCTATGATCATTATACTGTAATCTCAAATCATATGGATAGATTTTCATATATTGCAAAAAGTTTAAAAAACAACCAGAATCTGATAAACATAAAAGAAGAAATTTAGTGAAATAGATAAATGTTACAGCAATTTAGTCAACAAAATTAACATTCTTTAGGAATGATAAATAAGCAAACAAACCAACCAACCAACCCCTGGGCTATTCTGACAGAGTTTACATCAGAAAATATAAAGAAGAGGTAATATCAGACAAGGAATTTGAAAATTTTAAAATAACTTTGGCATAACTTTATAGTACATACATTTCTCCAAGGCTAAGCAAAATGACACCTTCTAAATAAATGGAATTTATTAAAACGTTAAACTACCCTAAGCAGTAGTTGACCACCTGGAATCAACAAAATTTGATGAAAAAAACTGAAAAGTTCTTAGAACTTTACCCTCAAAAGTCATCAGAAGCAGAGGGCTCAACAAACAGAAAATTTACAATAATCATAACAAAATACAGAAAATTGCAAAAACCTTCCTGATCTATTTTAGGAAGTGACCATAATCCTTTAACCAGATGGAGCCAGTTCATAATTACTATTACATGCGAAACACTATCCCACACAGGCACGTAATTAAACTTAAGTGAGCAAATGTACTACCGGCCAGTGCCTGGCATAGAGTAAAGCCTGTGTCAAACACAACATTCTGTCCTTCCTTATAACCATGGCTACAAACATCCTCTCTTTTGTTTTGCCCTTAAACTCACAGGTTACTGTGTGGCCACTGGAACTGGAATGTTTATTTCTACCTAAATGAGGAACTTCAAGCACAAAATAAATCCCTTCCTTCTCTTTAGAATGCAGTCTGATAAACGAAATATTGGTTAAGTGCTCAATAAATACTGTGTTACCTATCCTTCTTTCTTGAGTCCAGTCTCTTACTGTGATTTCTTTATCCAGAAGTTTAGAAACACTTAAGAGATCATAACACCTGAATATAATGAAAGCTATTACAGTTTACACACAAGAGTGCTTAAAATGGTCTGGTTTACTGCACTGAAAAGTTTAAAACCATACTACTGAGAACAACTTGTAGTAAAAATTCATTACTTACTGATATTTTGATTCATTTATTGGAGGTTAACAAAAGTTCTGGATTCCTTCCAATGCATAAATTAGTAATGAGGTATAGATTTGTGTCTAATGATTTCAGAGTAAGCATTTTATTTACAAACTCATCTTTTACTATGCCAAATCTAGGGTTTCAAAATTATTCAGTAGTTTTCTAATTACACCTCTATTGTCCACTTAGATGTCACCAAATAAAGGTTTAATGGACAGAAACAAAACAAACAAGCACCAGGTTGAGCATTGGGCAGCAGATTAAGTCATCTACTGGGACACATGTATACCCGGTCAGAGTGAATGGGATCATCCCAGCTCTGCTTTTAGTCCAGCTTCCTGCTAACACACGCCATGGGAGGCAGCAGATGGTGGCTCAAGTACTTGGGTCCCTGTCTCTCACAGGGAAGACCCCGAGTTCCTGGCTCCAGCCAGGCCCACATCTGGCTATTACAGACCTTTGCAGAGTGAACCGGTGATAAAAACATCAAATAAAAAAATGCATGCTTTTTAAAAAGAATACAGAATTTATAGTTACTAAATTAAAAAAAAATAAATAAAGGTACGACATTTGAGATACCTCCACCTCACATGTTCTATGAAATAATTCCCTCTTATTTACATCATTAAAAATACAAACAGGACAGTCACTTAAGGTAGAACCTCACCCCACATGAAGTTGTGAATGAGTTAGATCCACAATGTTAGCCAGAATCCATGCTCAGTCATTCTAGAACCATATCACTAGTTCGGGACAACTGAATGAACTGAAAGATTAGAGGAGTAGAAAAAGCAGAAACACTACCAAAATATTTTTTTTCGAGAGCTTTTACAGTATGAATCTACCACTGTCAATGTGTTTGGCTGGCTGTTCTTCTTTCCCTATAACCAAAGAGATTGTATTTAGTTTCACAGGGATTAACCTGAGAGTTAAAAGTGCAGTTGTTGGATTTCAAGATCATGTTTCTTATAGCAACAATTGAAGAGCTTTATGGAATAACAGAGAAAGTGAAATAGAATATGACAAAAGTTCCAATACTTGGTGACATAGCAGCTATCAAAACAGGCTGGTTTCTTTCTAGAAAATAAGTAAATGAAGCTGCAGTTACATTTTTCTGTCACTGACACATTCTGCTCATAACTGTATCTCTAGGATAGGAACTTGAAATTCATCGTAACTACCAAATTACTGTATCATTTTCCTCAATTTTCTGCTGATCAGCATTTCAGATTTTTAGTTCCACAATTTTAGTAGGGTTATTTGCTTTTCTTAAAACTTGGACGGAAGCAATACTAAAATGCCTGAGCAATAAGCAGGATTATTTTTCAGATCAAAATATTTCAGCCAGTCATCAACGGGGGAGGAGACACTTTGCGGACTTACTGAAAGCAGTTGGGCCCAAACACGGTGGCAAGGTTGTGAAGGGTCATGCGGTTCTGTCCATGGTGCTTGGCGACTTGCGTCAGGAAGCCACAGAGGTACTTGAGGAGGCAGTAGTGGGTCTCTGGCAGTTCTCTTATTAAGGCTCTCAAGCTGCTCTCCTGAGCATCGTTTCTGCCATCTAGAAAAAAAGAGGAGCAAGAAGACAGACTCAACTGGTGTTTTCAGGTCTAAGAAATTCCAACTTCTCATCCAGAAAACAACTCCTTGGAGATTGGGAAAGGCCTTGAGAATTTAATTTTTTTTTTTTTTTTTTATGTCAAGGAATTATTTAAGAAATCCTCATAGCCTCAAGTTCCATTTTATATTTTCTTCTCCTCATCCCAAATTAAGAAAATGGTTGAATTTCTCATCTCTGGTGGATTCTTTTGTGTCATAAGTGCCATCTGGTTTGCCAGAAACAAAGTCTCTTGGTAAAATCAGATGCCAGAGGCTTTCCAAGGTCACCAGGAGACACTAAACTTAACATCAAGACCCTATGCAGAGATAATGGGAGGAAATTTCTCATTCCTATACTTTGCAAAGATTCATTTATTTATTTGACTGATAGAATGAGACATAGGAGAGGGAGGAGAGAAAAAGAGAGCTACAGAGACAGCCAGAGAGAGAGATTTTCTATTTGCTGATTCAATCCCCAATGGCTGTAGCTAGGCCAGCCTGAACCCCAGAGCCTGGAACTTCATCCAGGTCTCCTACATGGGTGCCGGAGCCCATGCTTAGGCCATTCTCAGCGGCTCTCCTAGGAGCAATGGCAGGGAACTGTATCAGAAGCAGAGCAGCCAGGGTTCCGACCAGAGCCCAGAAGGGATGTTAGGGTTACAAGTGGCAGCTTCACCTACTGCACCCCAATGCCAGTCCTCACTTCTTAACAAGGACTATTCCTGACCCATCACCAGTTAGGCTACTCTGAGATTTTTGTCATCCAGAGGCCCTGTTTTGGGGGTGCTCCTCAAGAGCTCACCGGCAGCAAGAATCCTGCAAAGTCATTTTAGTGGGAACATCCCCTCCTTGATATTTAGCCCTAAAATCTCTTCCACCTGCCTGCATGGAAAACCATGTTGGGTCAGTTTAAATGCAATCTCCCTTGCTTCTTGTCATTTTCCATCTACCACACTCCACACGGCCTCACTGCATCCCAAGTAGACCCAGCTCTCTCCCACGCTGTTAAACCCCACTGCCCTCTATTGGAAAGTTGGTCTCGCCATGCAATGCCAAAAGTCAAACTGAGCATCTTGTACACTGTCAAACATGTCCATACACACTATTTATCCAGTTTCACTTTCTGCAGTTTCAATGGCCTGTGCTCAACAGCGATCCAAAAAAATATTACATGAACAAATGCAGAAATAATCTATATTTTAGACATTTTTCATTACAGAATACCTTCCTACTCTATTTTGTTCTTGTGGTTAGTATCTTGATGTGCCTAATTTATAAATTAGACTTTAGAATAGGTATGCATGTAGAGGAAAAATATGCTATGAGGATACTCAAAAAGTTCATGGAAAATAGAATGAAAAGTAAACTTCACTTTGGCACAAATATTTTTAAATCCATACAGCTGAGTTGAAATAAGGGTCAACACTATGGGAGGTTTCAGGCATCTACTGGAATTAGCCCCCACAGATCAGGGAGCACTAACATAGTTCAGAATTTCCACTTTGACCCTCATACAAAAGCCCCAAAGCACGTGCATCCCCATATATATGATATTAGACCAACGACTCACAGCATACACACGGTGATTTTAGCTCAGTTTTCTGAGACTGATTTTTTCCGAGGCTTAGATAAAGTTGTTTACATATTTAATTTGTATTTCTGCTCTGAGATCTTCACTAACAAACAGATCTTCACCAGAGAGCAGAGCTTCACTAGTAAACAGTTTAGGAGGTCAATGACAACCTATCCCTTTAACAGATGCCTGAGAGAATGAAATCTAATCTAATGATAATATACAAATCAGATGCACCAGATAAGCTGGATTTAGCAGCCAAGTGAGCAACAAATAAAGAAGTGAGGCAAACAGGATACAGAGGAAAAGGAGGATTAGTCAGCATTGTGCAATGCAGTCCAACACAGTCCATGGAGGAAGTGTGAACAGAGATCACTCAGAGAAAGTCCCTGTGTGTCCCGAGTGTCAACAGAGCAAAAGAGCACAGGCTGAGGACGTAGGTCCTGGGTGAGGATGCGGGCCTCCGTTCCTGCTCCCCATGTGATCCAGTGGCCCTGCTTCTGATGACAGAATGCCTCACTGCCCCTTGATCATAACTGGCAGGGGAATACAAGAAACGGGACTAACAGAAATAACTGCAGGGATTAGAAACCCACAGGAGTCGATTCATTTCTCGGTCTTTAAATCACAATAATAAGTATCAGCCAAGAGATAGTATAATTTTTTTTTAATGATCACTAATTCCAAGTGAGTCTGGATGTTTTCATCTGTGTGTTCTCTGTTTAAAACTGTTATCTATGGGCAGATATGTGGCACAGTGGTTATAAAATGATGCTTGGGCTGCCACATCCTCTATCACTGTGCTTAGGTTCAGCTTCCTGCTCATGTGCCCCTGGACAGCTGCAGGTGATGACCCAAGAACTTGGTCCTGGCTACCCACAGGGGAGACTCCGACAAATCTGAGTTTCAGACTTCCAACTGGGCCTGCTCAGCCCCAGCTACTACAGGTATCTAGAGGAATAAAAATCAACCAGTGGAGAGAGGCTCTCTTTCTCTTTTTCCAATAAATAAATTTGTGATCTAATACCCAGCATTTGAAGATACAAGCAACAGCATTTACAATTGTTTCTGGTCTTAAGACCTTGAAATGAAACAAAAACTTGAATGCAGGGCATATGTGAATCTAACAGATAAAATAAGGCAATTCAAATGAGCTATGCATTTACAACAAAAACATCTTTGAAAAACAAGCAGTGTTTTGTCATTTACTTCCAATTTCTGAGATGCAATAATCAGTATTACTAATTATTGACATTTTGAAATGCAATATTCAGTATATCTAATTGAAATAAAACTAACAAATAATGACAAAGGAGAAAAATATAAAAGGTTCAAGCTTACCAAAATAACATGAAATCCTTTAAAAAGTCAGTGGAAGAATTACTGAATATTTAATATGCTCTTGGCAAAAAAAGTCAGAGAAAGAATATACATTATATCGGCCTCCTCCTAGCCACAGATAGTCTCATTCCATGAAAGAAGTTTACGAGGTTCCTCACTGGGCAAGAAGCTGAGGATCTTCTACAATAGCAGCAGACTCATCCCTGAACCTTAAATATTTATAATCTACCTTCTGAATCCTTGTTCAAATATATTGACAGCACACTTAATAGATTAACTTATTAGTATGACATTTCTCCTCCTCTCCCTTCATACCAATTATACACTAATGTACCCAGGAAAAGTAATTTGTGCTACAGTTTCAGGTGTATGTGGTAACCATCAGTTACTGGCAGCCTGCAACATTTCCTACACACACTATTCCCTCTGTGTGAGAAGAATGATGGCTCAACACATTCAGCAGAAGCTTGTGGAAGAATATGCAAAGTACCACAAATGAAGTAGTGTAGCATAAATGAGCTTATTAAGGGCCAATGATGTGACATTGTAGGTAAATCCATGGCCTGTGGGTTCAAGTCCCAGCTGGTCTACTTACAATCCAACTCCCTGCTAATGTGCCTGGGAAAATAGCCCAAGTGCTTGGGCCCCTATATTCACGTGCGAGACATGGATGAAACCCCTGGCTCCTGGCTTCACTGAGGCCCAGCCCTAAACACTGTGACCAAGTGAGGACTGAAGCAGCAGATGAAAGACCTCTCTACATCTTCCTCTCTCTTTCCAACACTGCTTTTCAATTAATAACCTACTTTTTAAAAAGTGATGAGGAAATCACTTTACCAGAATGATCCACAATTTAAAGGCACGTAGTGAGACACACTAGCATAGGAACAAATGAGCCTGTATTCTTCAAATATATTCTAAAGAAATGTGGAATGATTGGGGGTCACCCACATAACTAGCTGGTTGGGGTGTTATATAGGAACCTTGCTACAAGCAGTATTTAACAGCAAGGAAAAAGCTTATCTTATTGTCACAGGGTAAGAACATCCAGTAGTTCTCCATTCAGGCCTCAGAAATAGAAACAAGCTACACCTCTGCAGACTGATGGATATATTTAAATTGATTTAATTTGGCCATTACTTCTAGAACTGAATTGGAATAGTAACTAAAATAACATAATTCATGAGTTCAAACATTTTAATATAAATTTGCAGACAGCAACAATGATTTGAAATTGCAGCTTGGTGTTCTTCATGAATGCCAAGCTTTTCCTAGGATAAAAATTACTTTTCTTCACTGTCCCTTCAAAGTTTTCAAGTTTGCATGAATGCTTTCCTTTGTTGTGGGCAAACTCCAACCCTTCCCTTAAGCTCAAATGCAAATATCAAATAAGTATAGTGGATGTAGTGTGCAGAGCAATCTACCCAGCACTTTAAGGCCATAAATACTTTTATTCCAGGTTAAGCAGCAAACACCGAACCATGTGACAAATATTTGCTTTCATTAAAAGAAGATTAGGCTCACAGTGGCAATGCTGCACCTGTATCAGAGGACAGCCCCTCACTCTCCTCCTGATGTTTGTCCTGGTGCTTGTCAGCTGCCTTGACTTCTCAGTGGCCTGACATTGCACTTTTAATCTTAGCCTCAAGGAGAAAGAAAATAAAAAAAAAAAAAAAACTCAACAACTGGTGAAATGCTAATCTCTATCATGATATAGCTCAGAGTCTTGAGCAGGTCAACGATTTTGACCACCAAAATATTTATCCTCATGAGGAGAGATTGATGGAAGTAACTGCTCCCTATCCTACCCCGGCCCCTCCTTCACTGAACCTCATGGAAGGATTTGTGAAAACTCAGATAAGCAAATGAGCTGAGGCAGAGACTGGAGATGAGCAAAGGGTACAAGACCCAGAATGCTGGCTGGTTCTGGACAACTCCCAAGCCAGCAAGGCAACAACCACCTCTACCTTACAACTGTTCACAACTGAATTATGCTAACAACCTGAGTAAATCGGGCAGCAGATTCCTTCCCAAGTAGAGCCCAGGCT